ATGTACGATATGACTAATTATTTCAATTACCAATGATAACTTAGATTTGTATTCGCTGTTTGTTTGTAAATTGAAATAACGAATATTCTAAAAATAACGCCATTAACTAATAAGAGTAATAGACACTTTACATTTTTGAATTTTTGATACCCGCAGTGTAATGTGTTTGCTTCTTCATAGTATCGAGTATTATAATTCAACAGTTTCTCTTGAAGAAGAATATTGTTTAACTACTAACCAGTTAGATATAATAGGTGAAATCAGTTATTTAGTCATAAAAAGTAAATTGCCATATCTTTACCAATTAAATCCTTAAATATAAAATATACATAAATAAATGATAATAATTAAACGAAACTGTTTTTCACTTTAATAATATATTTAAAAATAATATTGATAGTAATAACTATTATTAATTAGTTATGTTAATTATAGTATGGTAAAGTCACCGTCTTGGATTTTTATTACATGTTAAGTCATAACTTCTAAATTATAAGTCATGTATAAGATATAGGTACTAACCATAACAAGGATTTATTCATAATTATGTGCTGAAGTTAAACAGGAATTTAAAAAAAATACTTACATAATATATTTTATGTACTACAAAAATATAAATTAAGTTTTAATAAACAGGATTCCTATACACATAATAATCAAACACAAAAAGCGGTTAAATTAAAATATCATTGTACATGAAAAACGATTCTGAGCGGAGACACTATGTCAGTCTAGGATATTTTATAATGTTATTACTTATTATTAATACGGTAGCCGGTAAGTTGAATTAATATTATTCTTAAATTATCAGTGATGCAGGAAAAATATTATTTATACTTATGTAAAAGTAGGCTGTTTTGAAACGAAATTACAACGAAATTACAACAACCGCAATTTTTTGTGTTCATATGTAATTTTGTCTAAATTTTCACTAAAAAAAAACAAAAATAAAAAAAGCTGTGTTTATATTTTTTTTTTATATATTTTGTTTTGGTTGCAGAATTAACAACTTACGTAGAACCTTAATTTAAATTTTCAATTCTTAGCCATAAAAGTTAAATATTTAATACATTTTTTATTACAAACTCATTTCCAAATTTTAAATTTGAGAAATTTTGTCAAAATTTAAACTTTAAAACTATAAAACAAAAACATGGCAATGTATTTTAAATTTTTTATTCAACTGATATTGTTAAAATATATCTAGAGTCTTGTATTGAATTTTCATGCTTTTTGACCCAACTTATAAAATGTAATTAACATTTATAGAAAAAAAAATTTGAAAACTTCATCAAGTCAAATATTAGATATGAAAAGAAATTTTTTTTTGAATTTCTAACTAAAATAATTATCGAATTTTCGTGATTTTTAAGTATTTTGACGAAATTTGAAAATCAGAAGCCCAAAAAGAATTTTACAATGCAATTACGCTCAACTTTATTTTAATTTCCACTAAAAGAAACCTTGTGTAAAATGTTAAGTTTTTTGACAGAGGGAAACATTTTTTACAGACATTAATCGAAAACTTCTATGCCTAATAATAGTTCAACATGAGCCAAAATATTTTGAAAAATGTACCTATTATGTATAGAGAATGCCAACACAAACATTCGGTGAAAATTTCATGTAATTATATCTAAGGTTATTTTTTTTAGAATTCCACTAAAAACCAAAATCGATTTCTTCGGAAATTGGTTTTGCGTAAAAATGTCAGTTTTTTTAAAAATTTTTGTTTGTTTTTCCTGCCGCTTATGAAAAGTTGCTTTTGAAGAAAATCGAAGCACTTTTACTGATCCAAACCTTGATGATAGACACAAAAATAAAAAATAAATGAAAAAACACACATATCGTAAAATCAAAACATTCATCGCTCCGCTCAAATCTAAAATATTGGCTCTATGATAGTATTATTCATCTGAAAAATGTTTATGATCATTAATGACAAAATATTTCATCGATGATACATTGAGTAAGAATATTATTGATATTTTAACGCATCATTTTTTATTCTTCAAAATAAATTATCCTCAGTATAAAAACCATTCAACTCTTTTAATTTTTTGTTTGATCAAATTTTTACTATTAAATAATATATTACTATCATAGGTACCTAACTATTTTTTTCTTTTATTTGTATTTTATTTATGGTTCCTTAATTTTATCTTGTAGAATTCACGCCTATACTTTACAGTATTCATACCACTTTAAACGGCACTTCAAGAATAAGAAAACAATTTTAAGAAATTTTACAAGTGTTGGTATTATGAAAGTAAAAATTAACTAACGTCATAGTACACACACCACAAGCAATAAATCTATGCACCGACTAGTTATAATGGCATTCATAATTCCATAATGCAATTATAAGTTATAATAGCAGTTGGTAAATATTAAAAGAATTGTAGGCACGATTTTTTTAATTTTAAGTTCAAATTTTTCAAATTTTATCAAAATCTCGAACATTTTCAAATTATTGTGTTGACAAAAATTATAAATCATTCGATTTTTATAGCTAAGAATTGAACATTTAAAATAAAAAATTTTCATAAATGGTTCGTAGGTAGGTACTGTATAAACCCTAAAAATATAAAAACAGAGTTATTTTTACAGACATTTTAAGTTTAAATTAGAACGACATTATATATAATATTGTAACAAAGGATTAGTATTTTAGTTTGTTGCAATTTAAAAATATTTTTCGTGAATACTAGAGACTTTTAGAGTACATTATTAAATTGAATCAGTAAACACTCAATGACATATTCAAATTCAACCTACTGTATAGTACTAATGCCTAATAGTAAAATAAATTACTTTAATCATAATAATAACATAAAAATTACTTAGTAATATTAAAGGTTGACAGACTGTCTTCGCTCAGAATCGTTTTTCGTATACAATGATTATTGAATTCATATTTAACACATATCCATTACAGTGATATTCTATCTAATGTCTAGCAAAGTGTTACCCGCTATTTTAAACTTTTATGTTTTGTATGCATATAAAAATTATAATCACTAAATCCTTTAAGTACAGTATATATTATTATAATATAGATATTTATTCAAAGTAAAATGTTACACGAGAAGTTGTAATATTTTAAGAAAATGGTATACAGTTGATAACCTGTTATAACCAAGCAATTGATGTACTCATATATTATAATATAAAATGTATAAAATTATAAATTAATAAAACTAACTAGTATGACAAACCCGACCCAAGGGCGTTAAACCGACAATTTTTAAACTGATGTTAATTCGTTCTACTTTAAAATCATTAACGGTAACCAATCAGACGATTTAACTAACGGATACAAATATGCAATGAAAGTGTTTTGAGTGTGCTAAAATATAGATAATTGTTTTAACATTATCAAGCATAAAACAACACAAGTCAATAGACCAAAAATCCTACCATTAAGAATGAAAATTAATTACTTTTTATCAAACAATTCTGATTAACCAGTTTTGCTACATATTAGTATAAAAAAATAATTTTAATTAATACATTTTAAGTTCAACTTATTAAAATTTCAAAATTGTGAAAACTAAAAACAATTAATCTAAAACGTCTATGGTAAAATATAATCAATTAATACAACATTAATTGAACATTTTAACCGTGTTTTTAATGTAATAAAAAATATTGTACAAAATGAGTTTTGTGTAGGTACTAGTACTAATATTATTTTTGTTTTTAGTAAGTAAAATAAGATTATTTATTTGAATCGACAATAATGATACATCACTGCATTGACCTCTGTCTAATCTTTTAAGCACCTGTCATAATATATTTTAATAATAAATTAATTTGTGTACCTATGAAACGAAATTTCTTAACTAGATAACGAACATAAAAGTATCTAACACATTTTTCTATTACATAATAATACTATTTTTATTTTTTTACGTAGATTAATAGATAAACAATTTATAAAAATGTAAAAATTTTTGAAAATTTTTGAATAAATAATTGTAAATATTTTGATTAAGAAGAAACTTCAAAGATATTGGTGTTAAATATAAAAATTTTTATTTGATAATAAAGTGGTCAAGTATCGGTTATACATTTACCACTTGTTTAGGGTGAAAATGGATTCTTATTTATAGATCGTAAACAATCTGTTGTATATCGGATAGATCAAACTGGGTTCTTTAATACTTAAAAATTAACTTTATTTTGACGGTATAAAGCGTTAAGCATATAATATATGTAAAATATAATATTACGCAAGCAATAAATAATAAATTATAAGTAATCATATTCTGTTGAAATTAAAAATAATAATAATTGTAAAATATTTTTAATTTAGATTAATGATTTATTTTAATGTTTTGTAAGAGATTACATTTTAAAATGATGTAGAATATATTTTAGTTACTTAGAAATCTTGAAAATCATAAGTCACTTTTTTAATTAATGATCATTTTTAAATAAGATTCTATTTATTTGATTATTCACAGTAGTACCTAACTAATGAGCTCCATTCAAAATCATTTCTTCTGAGAGTCGATTCACCACATAGCTTAATATGCTTTCTTAATAAGTTATAACCTAATAACAATGCACGTATGAATTTAAAGCTAAATTACCAACATTACTTTAAGTACCTACTATAATAAATTTAATAGCTATAGATTTATCATGTTACAGCAAAATTAAGATTTTTTAAATATAATTTTTATACTTTTTAAGATAAATGTTATATGACTGAGTTTCATTAAGATGATTAGGTACTCAACTTAATTTATTCTATCAAAGACTATCACTTTAATTTGAATACACATATACAAAGTAATTAAGATAACTATGCTTACAGTTAACCAAGACAAAATAAGAGCTTATTTACTAACTAAATAAATATTTCCTTAAACATTTTTAACTATTATTATAATAATATATTGTCTTTTTTGAAACAATACGCATTTAAGCATACTGGGTCATTATTGTTTAATGACTGAGAGAACATAACACATAATTATTACTATATATACCTTGTGATGAAGTCCGTGAATGCCGAAATGCAATGTGATAAGTAATGGTGAGTTGTCTGGAGGCTGCAGATGAAACAGCCAGCGATGAATGGTGTACTCAATGAGAGGCCACAAAAGTAAGCCCAAAATAGTAGAACTTATGACCAATGTTCCTATCGAAAAAGTATCTAAGGAAAAACAAAATATGCATTTATTAGTTATTATGTATGCATTTCATTAAGCAATTAAAAAGTAATTTAGGTAATATTAGAAAAATGTTAAAAATATGATACAATTAATAAAAGATATATGATAGGGGTTGTTATTGAAAAACAGCTCAGCTGTTAGTGTTTAAATGCATACTTAATATTGGTACCAAAATTTAATGCATTTATGTAATAAACAATATTTTAAAATGTTAACTAGTAACTCGTGATTCCACACAACAGTTTTGCGATAACTACAGCGTTTTACTACACACGAACCCACGCACTAAATATTTATGCGGGAGCACCCGCAGAAAAAGTCCGGCGATTCCGACGGCAATATGAGCACGGAACAAAATGAAGTTTAGTATCTATAATATTCAATAATATGCTCATTTTTTGATTTTTCTTCTTACCTCATATGTATTGTAAGGAACTATTATGAATGTCAACAAATATTTTCGCTTTTTTTAACATCTAAAATTGCACCAAAATTGGGAAAAACTTGATTTTTTCAAAATAATAAAACTAAATAAAATTTTAAAAAAAATTATTTTTAATTTTAATAATTACATTTTTACCGTGTGTAAGATACTAATAATATGTTAAAGTTAAAATAAAATCTACCGAAGGAACAAGTAGGTAGGTAAGTAATTTCAATGGTCAAAATTTGACTGTTCCATCACATTCAGCGTAAAGGCGTGTCCAATTGGCTTTTGCAAGGCCACGTGGCAAATACGTGTCCAACGTTTATTTTTTGATTAGTACAATTTTAAAAATTATTTAAATATTTAAAAAAATAAGTATTAATGCAACGTGGCTTTGCCGAAATACGTCCAGTGGACGTCGTCCACACAGACGAAGCACAAACCACGTAGCTTTCCTTTGATGTAGACCGACAACTAGGCCGATCTATAAAACATTGCCATGCAGCATCCAAAATAAGTTATGGAAAACAAGTTTGTGACGTCACACTCATTTCACACGGCAAAATTGACTCCTCTTGTCGTTCCTTAATACTATATTAAAAAACGGTAAACAAGTGGTTACTTGTACCTATGTATAAATCTAAAATAGATCCAACGAAGAAATCATGGGAAAACGATTGCAAACATAATAGATAATAAGTAATAACACTAATAGACATGTAATACATTTTAAGAAACTTTGACATGAGACATTATTAGATTCATTAAATTTATTATATATTGTCTAATACAAATATATTATAATAATACAAAATAAAGTAAGTACTTACTGGGTATTATATAAAATTGAGTATGACTTTGATAATGACTTTTATCAACACGTAACATTACATTATGTTCAGTGAATGTAAGTTATTAATTTTAAGTTGTATACTGTATGATCTTATACATTATTATTAAAAAAAATAATTACGAATATACAATAAGACATAAGGTTTTGAATTTTCTCAATAGTAAATAATCAAAGAACCTATTGTAAGAAGTATACCATGATATACCTACAATTAAGAAATTAATAAAATGTTAAATAAATTGTTACTACTAATTTTTTTTTTAAATGGTTTTAAGCATCGGAAACTATGGCCATCAGTACTTTGTAGGGGGGTAAAAATTGGTTGAAGAACACGTGTGTGTGGGGCGAAGATTCGTCACTAAAAACCTGCGTGGTCACCCATCCGGGAACTAGCGGCGTGGATTGATGCTTGGTAAAGATTTCACTGTATTTTGTTTTCTTTTTTGCTAGTAATATTGCACAGGTGAAAATTATAGACAAAAAGAGAAGAAACTAGCATTGCTCTTCACTGAGGTGAAACCTTTAATCGAAGAGCAAGAGTACTTAGCTAAACTTGGTGAGAGACCAAACAATAAAAAGATAAGATAACTTGTAATAACAAAATGGAAAATAAATAAATTTAACAAGACAAAATAAATATAAAAGTGGGGGGGGGGTACATTTTTAAAAGCTATTTTAAAAAACAATACATCTATTACAGGGATAACATAGACGACTAAAATTGTATAACAAGACATTTTTATATCTGCGAATAACATAAAGTATAAAATACTAGATTGATTGATTGTGTATCATTGCAAGATAAGTTATTCTGATTATATCAAGTTTATTGACTGATGTCTTATAACTTTATTATGATATTATGAATATGAGTATTCGATTTGAGATTTTCATCAATTAATAGTTCCAAGTATTTCACGTTAGAATACTTAAAGCACATGTTTAACGACATGTATTCGGCTTAAAGAAGTAGATAATTGTATTTGTATGTTTTTATATTTATAATGTTCATATTATACAAAAAAAATATACATACAACGTATAATTTCGCTTTTTTCCGTTACAGTTCTGAAGTCATTTGAAAATGTAATAAATTTGGATTTGTTATAATAATATAATTAATTCTTAAATTATTACTGAAAAACCAACCATCTAGTATAGTCATATCTGATTCTGCCGCTTTACGCCAAGTCGACTGCCAGATAGTGTCGGAAATTACAATTCCTGTATAGTCAGCATAGGAGCATATTTGTCCATAAGTGGTTGGAAACTCAACACTGATACGTACATTATATAAAGAATTGGAGAAGGAACTGTAGGTAAACCGCGGAGGACGCCTTTTTGAATCCAACTTATGTCACTGAATGTATTTCTTATTCTCACCAGTGAAATTTGCCTTGTAAGTACGAGAGTATATATTTGTTGTATTTTCAACAAAAAATATTATTTGCATTTATACAAGTATAAGTAAATCCAAGCACTTAATTTGATTAGCTCATCAGCAAAAAAATCCGTTGATATTTAAAGTTGTCGAAAAAATAAATAGAAAATTGTATTTCAAACAACAATTGAATTACACAAATAAAACAATATTTAACATTTACATATTTTATTTTTCCAAATTGTCAATCTAACATACGTCTCGCGTGAAAAATGACAATGTTTTAATATCGTATAAATTAAATCAACGCGGATGAAAGTCGATTAAAACGTACAGGAAAATGGAAATTGCTCAACGTTTTACAAATACGAATAAATATTACGAGATAACGAAAATCCGTGGCGTTTAAATAATGTCTAAAAAAAAAAAAAGAAAAAGAAAAAGATAAACCGTGTGTATATGGATATGGATTATTTTATAGGTTGATACGGGGTGTAGATATCTGACATTAACGGTAATAGTAAATGTAATTTATTTTTTACGAGAACCACATTTTCCGAGTCATTAAATGTATATATTGTGTGTATACTACAGTGTGTATATATAGCGGCGGGTGAGCCGCGGAGCAGGAGAGTGGGGAAAAAAAAATCAAATTTAACGCGACCCGGAGAAATGGTCGATTTATCAATTGCGAATGATAATAAAAAAATAAAAAAAAAAACCCCAACAACCGAAAACCGAAAACGACCCGATAATAACCGCGACGATAAATAACAGCACTCTGGTGGAGCGCGCGTATATTATAATCGATGTCGTCTGTGGATCGGCGGCGGCGGGATAGCTCGGAGCAGTGGAGTAGCAATAACACACGACGACGACAAGACACGGTTCATCTCTCGGCGACGGCGACGATCGGACCTCGTTTGATACTATACGATAATATTGTCTGACATTAAACGCGCGCGCGCGCGAAAATTCAACAGGGAGTCGTCAAGCTCATCGGTTTGATATCATTATATAATGTATATAGCGACGACGACGACGACGACAGGACACCACCCGAGCTGCAGTGCTACGGAGGCGAAGGGTAGCGCGCGCGCAGCGGCGGCAGGTCGGAAATTATATCGTATAATACAGCGTTTCTTAAACTTTTTTATCCGCGGAATCCTTTTTTTATGTGCACTTTCACCGTGAACCCCCAACTATTTTTAGCTTTTTTTTATTGAGCTCTTAATAATAAATTATTACAGCTCGACAATTAGAACCACTACATTGTTTCAATACTTTCAATGCGTCATTTTATGTAAGGAATATTTGCAATAAAAGTTATAATTATGTGTCAAAATTTAAAATTTTGAATAAGCAACCACAAGTTTCGGGGAACCCTGAAGTGACCTCCGCGGAACCCTGGGGTTCCACGGAACACAGTTTAAGAAACGCTGGTATAATATATATATATATATATATATATATATAGGTATACAATAGTACAGGTCTGCGGAACGTCATGCGGTGTACGCGCACAGCAGGGCCACGATACACGCGTACGGCGTATATAAATATAATAATATTATAATGACGGCGGCGGCGTCGTCTGCTCGGTGTGTATACACATCACGCGACTAACGGCCGCCGGGAGATCGATAGTGGCCACTCACCGCCGCCGCCGCCGCCGTCGACGGTTACGCGGGACAGTGTGTTTTTGCACGAGCGTGTACGAGCGGTGTACGCGCGTGATGCCAAGGGGCGCGCGCGGTCGCCGCCGCCGCCGCCGCCACCACCGCAGGGATTGCGAGCGCGACCGGCGACTTGGCGTCTGCCGCGAGCCGCCAGACCGGCGACAGGCGCCGCGTTGAGACGCCGCCGCCGCCGCCGCCGCCGCCGCCTCGCTTCCCCGTCCGTCCACTACACGCCACTACAACCGTCGCGCAATAAACTCTGTCGCTGCCGCCGCCCGCAAAGCAAAATTACTACATTATAATATTATTATACGCGTAACGCAATGGGCGACGGGGAAGAGTGTGCGGGGTGTGCGATGTGGGTGACGGTATATATTATTATTATTATTATTATTATTATACACACGCGCCGAGCTCGGGTGGGCGGCGGCTGGCTCGTTCGCATGTTCGTCCCGCGTCCGTCGCGTATCGACGTAGACGCGGCGCGCGCGGCTAGGGGTTCTGTCCCGTCGGAGTGCGCGCACGACCACGATTATTATTATGCCTCGGTCGGATAAGGTCCGCCGCCGCCCTGAATGCAAAACTCGAGATAAAAGTCGCCCGCCTGACCGACCGCGCGTTCCGCCGGCAAAACCTGTTGAGCGGATCCGAACGCGTATTCTCGTCCGCCGCCGCTAAGCGTCGGCGCTTCTCATTCGACAAGTGCTCAGCGCAGTTAACGCACGAGGTCAGTGTTGTGTGATAATATTATATTATTATCATAGCCAAACACGAGTTACGTGCGTTCATCGTTATAATATTATACTCGCGACGATAACGCGCCGACCGAGCCACTGCCACGCGGAGCACACGTTATTGTATGCCAAATTATAATATATTATATAGTACATACCTACGAGTTAGGCCACTATAAAACGGGGTTAGGGGAAGGTGGCAGAGATTATATTGTCTCAAAAACGAGAAGTTATTTGTTTTCACCCCCACCCGACTCGACAGACCACCACTTCAGCTAGCCGCGTTATAATGTATACGTGACACCTGCTATGGTAACATACGTGGAACCGGAATACTGAATTAATAACATATTTAACATTTAAAACAGTCAAAAACAACGTACCACCTATATAATATTGAATTTGTTATAATATTAGACTTATCTGATACAGTGATACTCAATACTTGACCGTTGAAACTGATGAGGTATAATGTGTAGGCCAAGATAAAATAAGTAACAATCCGGTTTTCGGGTCCACGCAATAAGACACGCGCCTATACCCATTTATGAATAAATAATATATTTACATCAACTCGTGGAATGTAGGTACGCCATGCGCTAACCGAAAGATCTCACGGACAAAAAGTTAGGATCACAACCTGCATTGAACCATACGTTGTTTATGTCATGGTGTAAACAAACAAACTTTTATTTTATCATAAAATAAAACTGCACGATTATTAAGTAATAATATCTGCGTTCTTCATTATTATGCCGTCCATCATCACGAGCAAGTACAATAATAGCATCAAGCATAAATCAGATTCGTATTTTTGTAAAGACAGTTAAAATTGTATAATTTAATGTATTTCACAATATTTAAAGGTTAAATTACAATTATTAGGAATTTCCTGTCCTTAAAATGCAATGTTATTAAATATTAATAATATTTGTAGTAAATTAATATACATGTTTTAGATTCTGAGAGGAGCGATGTATTGAATGTATTTCTATTACGAATCTAGGACATCCTCCCCCCCCCCCCCTAAACGAGACAATTCAACCAGGACAAAAAAATAAAAGTAAAAATATTAAACAATAATACGCAATTCAAACCAATAAGTTTACAAATGATTAAATGAATATAGTTCAATAATACTTTTACATTACTTTGGTTTATCAATCATTACCCATTAAATTGGGTAATTCATAACATGAATAATGATAAATGATCATATACTTTGGGTAAAACCAAAGAACATATTTACCAATCAATTATTTTGTGTATAAAAAATATATATTGCTTCAGTGTGGAAACGTCTAATACCGCTAAAATCATCAGGGGGGAAGGCACGGGGGGGGGACGTCCAAGTACCTTATATTACAATTTGTGTTTTTTTTTTAACAAAAAAAAGCGATAGGTCATCAACTTAAATGGAGTGATTATGGTAGCAAATTGGACCTAGTTGATACTTTTGGGAAGTCAAAATTAAAATTACTCAGTATTCTTAAAATAGATAATCAAGAAAAAATAACAAACATATGAAAATGTGTTAAAGTTATAATATAATTATTAAAATAGTTGTTTGGTAACCTTGGTAACAGAAAATAACATCTAATGTTGATAAAAAATTTTGCTCGATCAAAATGCTTAAAAATTTAATACAATAGATTCCAAGTTATACAAGTTGTCAATACTTATGGTAAAAAAATTACTGAAATAGCAATATCCAAAAACACATCATGAACATGCTTAGTAATATAGGCTGAAAGACAGTCTTTCGATATTTTTTTCGAAAACAATAATTTATCATTGATATTAAAATTTAACACATACATAACAGTGACTTATGGAATGCCGATGTTTACTCCACACTTATACACTGTAGGAACAGTAGAGCGGTTACCTGTATTATACCTCTCTTTTTTTTAAGTTGAAACTGTATCTTTTATAAAAATTTTTTTTTAATAAAATCGAAAAATAATACATTTATATTCAAATATGTACATTTACTAAAAGTAAAATATGTAAATCATCATAAAATACGTGTGTATTCCCAACTAAAAAGTTTAATCATAAGGTTATTTTGAGTTTGAATTTGTTCATTTATTTATTGATCACGTGAATATTATTAAGAATACATATTAAAATAATTATTCATTGAATAAATTACTATATTATTTATCCTTGTAGCTATAAGAACTGAGTATTATGAGTTAGAAGAAAAAAATCAAGTTCTTACACCATCCAAAATAATAACTGTTCCACCAATAACATTATGTATACCAATTATAACAGCTAATTTTCAAATGTCTAGCTTAATCACAAAAAACAATGACAGTTGTAAATCGTTGTGGTTGTTACATTGACTACCTATTTTAGAGTAAATAAAGATCTTTTCACTTCCAATTTTAAAAAATACGAAACAAGCGTTTTATATTACGCATACAACTGTAATAACCATTCATTAAATTATTGTTAATATTTTATTTATCAATCAAGGAATTGACTGATTAAATTATAATAAGTGACAATATAATACACAAAATTAACGTCCTTGTAGATCAACAAAATATCTATTTAAAAAAAAAATCCTCTAACAACCAATTGCATAAAACTTATTTTTTATTGACCATAAATCGTGTAGGTCGTTACACGAGTGGAATAGAGAAGTTTGACGTCATGACCTAAAAATCGCCTAGTCTCGCCAGCATCCCATTTGGCTGACTTAACATTTTGGCACTTCAATACACAACAGAACAGTTTTACTTGGGTTATTGCTAATTTATTAAAACGTATTTGAAAAAATTTAAACTTCGAAATGTATTTTATTAATGAACATGTGTATTAAACAAAATAAAAATATATATAAACTGAATAAATTGAATATTATATTATATTACCATAAAAATATGTTCGTATTCGTTTTCAAACCAATTAAATAATATGATAGTTGTACCTACATTTTTCTATGTTAACCAGTTTTTATTAAATGTACAATCAAAAAGGTATTATGAAATATATTTCTATTCTTACAATTTTTACCAATTTAATACAAATAGTTACACGTAGACTTACTGATTAGGTTTACTATTTTGTAAGAAGATACTATTGTTTCAATTATTATTTTCCAATTTAATAAACATGACGTGTAGTCCTAGTGAATAATATTATATTAGCGGTTAATATAAGAATATAAATTTAAAAGGCGCTATTACAATATTTTAGGAGAATAGATCACGTAAATAGTTATAATTTATAAATATATTAATGAAAACTAGATAAATTAAATTTTATAGTTATAATTCAAATATATTATATCTTTTGAACTAACTGACAAGCCACTAAGACACTAACATCGTCGGAATTTAAAGTAATTGGTGGAATAGTTTTATTTTAATTGATTTATTAGTTAATTAAATGATAGTGGGAAATAAACTATATATTATACGGTGTGTCCCAAAAGTCTGGTATCACCCCAAATACATCAAGACGGCAACACATCAATATATTTAAATGCGATTTTTCAACTGTAACGTATAAGATAATAAAACATTGAATAGCACACTCATTCTAATGATTTGCTTTGACGATAATTATAATTTGAAACGGACTTTTGGGATAAGACGAATATACATTATACACAGTAATTTTTGAAACATTTAAATTCGAAGATTCGAACTATTCAGTATATTCGTATAACTAACAAAAAAAATTAAAACCTACATTTCAAAACAAATACGAACCGAATTACTTTAATACTAAAAACAAACTTAGAACTCATAGGAAGGATTAACATTCTTAATTCATCCTTATAATATCTATTTTATGAGATTTATGAAAATTTTTACATTCTATGCCTACAAAATAGCTCCAAAAAAAATTTAAAAAATGGTTTGAACGTTCGAATTTATTGATCGATTCACGAAAAGAAATTGCACTGAATGTTTATTATAAGTACATTATGATATATATATCATACTTATATATATATATACGAGTAAAATATTTAAATTGAATAAATAATATTCAATTATTATTCACTGGCCCACCGTTAAAGGTTTCTAAATTCCAATGCACATAAAACATTTATTTAGAATTTAGAATTCAATAATACGCTAATAATACAGATACATATTTAACTTAATAAATAACCTATAATATTATTTTAAAATTATTTTTCCATGAAATAATTGTATTAATATTCTGGTCTCTACTACATATATGCTAAAAATTATAAAATAATAGTACCATTGTTTATTTAGCAGGTGTACAGTTTAGAAATATTTCAAATTATAAGGGCGTTATTTGTAAAATAATCTGTTTTTCATACCTGAAGTAATTGTTTGATCTACTGTGTTGGCTAATGAACTTCTTAACCTCTGATAACCAATGAATATCAGGTATAACATCACAGGTATCCAAATCGACGGCACCATATACCATGAAGTAATGGTGAGCGATTCAATGAAGTCGGAGCCGAACAATCTCAGTTTTCGATCAACAGGAGCCAACACCCATTCTTTATACTTTGGGCCTAATGATCCAACTTGCCAAAACATGGGTCGATTCCAATCTACAAGACTCTAAAACAAAATAAAATAAATAATTGTAATTTATTATGATAAAAATACAATAATAGTAGAATGAAATAAAAAATATACAACATTTTATCATTATAAATTATTTTATTACTGCATAAATAATATAGATATGTATCAACTTATAATATTTCAAATTGTCTTTGTACATATAATTTATATTTTAGGTAGTATTGTACAACGAATAAGTAAAAGACAAACGTTGTGGTAGCATATACATTATACTTATTAGATTTAGATGTTCAGTTTCCAATAGGTCGAACAGAAATTTACATTTTTAGTCATTCAATACCTACCCATAAAAAAACGACTTTACCACTCGTTTCGCTCCAGTCACCCTAAAGTAAATATTGAATAATTAATTGTATTACTAAAAGAATAATCATTTTAAAAACGATCACGAGTAGAATTGTAGGCTAAATTATAATTTTTATGAACAATTTTCAAATTTTAAACGGTGATGAACTAAAAAAAAAACCGGAAACTCGCTTTGCTGTATAGTAAGTTTCAAGAGTAACTCATCAATCATCATTGAGTAGGTCACTAAATGAATGTATCGCTTTAAAACAGTGATTAATAATTGAATTCAATAAAACGATTTTAAGCAGAGCATCGATGTAATACGAGGTATAATATATTAATATCTATACTCAGTTTCTAATGTTAGTTATGTATTAGTTACCTAGGCTTAACATTACATCACATCACATTAAGAGAAAATGTAGAAATAAATATTATTTGTGAGTAAAAATGTAGAAATATATATGGCTATAAATAGGAAAATATTTCAAAAAAAAAAATTTGAACATTTAGTATATACTGTCATTAAATTACACGAGTGACTGGTTTAGGCATATGGCACATCAACAATTTGAAAATGATTCCTTCTCATTCAGCTCCAAATCTAAAATTAACAGTTTAAATTGTATAGAGATTTAATGAATATAGCTGTAACCACACATTTTATTTATCGTGATAATTATAGTTCTAAATAAAAATTGCAAATTGAATGAAATAAAAACCTTATAATAGTTAAATTTACCCCTAAATAATTATCTATGATCAATATTATTTTTAAATTATATTGCCTCTACAAACTTAATTACATCATATTATTGATGAATATATATTTTCTAGTCTCTAGAATTATTAAGCAGTAAAATAATACAAAAAGTTTTCCTGCCCAGCTGGAGTCCTGCCCCCGCAGTATTTCGTGAAAGATTATGGATTTTTCAATATTTTTTCGTATTTTTCTAGAAAACTGCTATGAAACTTAAAAAATAACCTCTCTAATAGTCTAATGTACCATCCGTGTTCAGTTCCCAATCTAGAGAAAAGCTAGGTATATGAAACTTTTACTTTAGAGTATTTCTTTTACCGAAAAAGTGATCACTAATCAGTAATCACATACAAAGTACCTAGATAAAAAAAATGATAATAATAAACACACTACGTTTTAATTAGAACCCAAATTATAATTATATCAATGAAAACGATTAACCCAAGATTATCGGTAATCACGATTATAAATGCAATTATAATGGACATTATATTTATACATATAGAATGTTAAGAGTTATATTCACTTGAACCCATGATTTGATAGTATAGTTTATTAACAATATTACTACAGGAGGGCGAACCACTATAAATAATCGGTCTGGACAAGAGCTCTGATGTGGCGGAGTCATGCTGACGACCAAGGGTAACATTAACATTGTCCGAATATTTCTGGGCCAATCCATTGATCGGTATGGTCAAAACGAAATGTCGACGTCACAGTTCTCTCAACTGCTTTCTAGTGTGAATGAATATTATTAAGAGCTGTACATACCAACAATCATAAATGTTGAATATTATGATGTAGTGATTTAATGTACGTTGTTGTATTATTAACAAAAAATATTACTCAACTTTACTTAAAAATGTTAAATAATTATTTCTTAAACAGAAGAATACGAAAATATTATCACAACAATGAATAAAATACGGGGTAGAAAGTGAACTTATAAATAATCAAATATATCTGTACAAAACAAATACTATAATAGTAAATAATATTTTTGAGGATATACTATGATTTTATGAAGCTATACATCATATATTAAGTTTACATGTTATTAACTTATCTTAATCATTTAAGTTTATAAACACGTTCATTCCCAACTGATTATCATACAAAATATTTAAAGATAGCTTTTTTTTATAAAAAGAAAAAATTAATACCTCACACACAATAAATTAAAATCTTTTTTTTCAAAACCACACATCGATAAATTTTTAAAAGAGGTCTGAATAAAAACTTCTATGGGTTAAATGTATTGTCAGAGTTCCAAATATTTTGTTACGAAAAACCTACTTATGTATTAGACTTCTGCGGACCCGATTTTATAACATATGTGTAATATGCTGTAATCTATGCAATGTAAATCAACTTCATAGTTTTCTTGAGTGCCCAGAACGTTTAAAAAAAATGTATGAAATCAATGCCAAGTTTTTACCATTATAATATACAATACAATAACTCTAAAAACGTAAAATGTGTGATTTTCTCATACTTAAAATATGAGATCAGATAAGCTGGAGGGATGCCGGATGTAATGCACTCATCTCACTTCACTCGACTCCGCACGTGGCATTGGTGTGTTGTGATATTAAATTTGAAGGAAATTATAAATTTAAAAAACCACAGTCTTAAAAAATATTCTAGTTATAACTGGGTTTACTTATATTGTTTCAACATAAATAAACATGCAGTAAAAAATGATAACAACTAACAAGGTATAACGTATAAGATGAAATCTTATATACAATAAAATGAAAACAAAATCTTGCACAAAAATACTTTTTAGAGGAGAAAAAGCTTAAACATATAAATGAGACAAAGATCACCAATATTCTATTATTCCAATAGTTGGTATAACTACAAATCATAAAACTTTGCTATTGTGGAAATGAAAAATAACGTACATTCAATCTACACGACGATACTAATTTTTCAAAGATCTGTTAAAAAGGCCTTATAATATCATATATAGAGTTCGACGAAAAACAAAACAGAAAACAAATGTTGCATACATAATTTTTAAACCATGATCTTCCTCATTGAAATAAGAATCTATTAAATAGAAGAAAATCATAAAATCAAAACGATCACCACTTCTAACTAAAAATGATAAAAGACTATAGTACTATAAACGTTTCAAATTATTATTAATTCCTTTAGTGCGGGTATATCTTATGAATGTAAGATGTAAAGCACATACAAATAATACAAATATATTATTTTATCATTTCTAATCAGTTATAGATTTTTATCGAATCATACTGTATACAACAAATTAATAATATAATTATTATGATATACATTTATTATTTATAGATATAACCTCAGATATACGTGAGTACCAACCTGCTTGTTGAGTTTTGATAGATAATCAATAATCATATTATTGTAGGAATTTTCTAATTTAAATTTCGTAAATATAAATACACTTACTAAAATACAGTTAACGATTTGTAAATACAATTATAATGGTTGCACTTAATTTTATATAATTATATAACTGCTGTTAGAATTGCAATCAGTTACAAAACAATTATAGATACTCCAAGGTATAGTTTACAAAACTAGACCTGATACAGAAATTAAATACGTTTCAACAAGTACTTCATTGTACTTAGTTTCATGAAACAATTTAATAATTCAATTTTTTCGTCACGATTGGAGTCACATAACAAAACGTTTTCTTCGAAAATAAATAGGAAAACATAAATACAATCAGTTGTATTTTATACAATATTTTGGTATGGTGTGAAGGTCGACATAATGTCAGTTCACAATTATGCGTACTCTGTAACTACACATTTAAAATATAGTCTTAATATAGCATGAACTCGTGTACCTATACGTTAAATAATTTAGGAATATATTTTCAATGAATAAAACATTTGTTAGTGAACACTGTTCGTTAAATATACAAACTAGGTAAGATACGTATAACATAATAAAACAAGTACATATTAGAGACAATATTCAAATAAAAATCCAAGTATTTAGCCTCTAGATTATTTGTTTTGATTATTCCAAAGGTTCATACATTTTTAATTCAAAATAATACCTCATTTATACTAATTTTGTAAATGAATATTTATTATCTGATATACAAATAACATGTTGTACCTTAAGACTATATATGCAGACATTTCAATAGTATGTATCTCATAAACCATTAAGTAAAATGTAATAAGGTACTTAATTTAATTGAACTATTTTATAATTTTCCCTACAATCTATCCAAATCACATATGTAGAAAAACCCAAAATATACTTTAACATGTATCAACTATCGGTTACTTATTTTGAAAATATTATGGGGACATTAAATACAAGGATAAGTCTTAAGTAGCTACAATCTTCAATTTTTAGAACAAAGAAACAAAACAGATCTTGAGTAAATTACGATCAATACAAAATTGAAAAATTCTTATTGCTTCACTAGGTATATCAATCAGTACTTTGAAAATAGGACGCATCTGAATTCATATATTTCAGGTGTATAAAACAGAGACAGAAACCCCTACTCACTTTCAATCCCCTTAAGTAATAGCAATTTTGGGTCCCCTTTTTTTATTTTTCCCAACATACAATATGAGGCACTAATGTAAGGCCATAACTAATAGGTAAGAGGACAAGTAACGTTGTAAGAAATTGAGGTAACATTTCTAGAAAATATCGTTTTAATCATTTAATTACCTCTGTCTAGCAACACGCGTCAAACATTCAATATTGGAGTTCATAGTTCATTGATCTATTACCAAAATGAGAGATGGCAAAATGAGTACCCGAGATGTATTTTATTCTATACTTTGATTTTGCAGGCACACAATATATTATTTATGAATGATGGAGAATAACAAATCGTTAATCGATATCAATAAACCACTTCTACGTTTTCGTCATCAGTTCTACAAGATATATATCG